ATGTATTTTATTTCATGCTGGTTCAAGTTAAACATCAGAACTTAAATGGTTAGGTTATAAATGATTATAGCAAGGGCCAGAAAAGGATTTTTCTATCCACTTAAGTTTAGTAATCACTTAAAATATACAAAAAACTTCAGCTGGCTTCATTAGCCCATCCAGTCTCCTTGAAGAACAGGCAAATGCTCTTGTTATAGTTACAGTGAAGCTGAAAGGCATCTCCATATTCTGGAGGCTCATATAGTACCATCATAGCAAATTGCTTTTTTGATGCCTCTCTAGCATTTTTTTTTTAATTATATTCCTAATCATCAGGGAACCCTGACCAGTACTGAAGACCTCCTGTCATTTCTCTTTAATTATTTAAATAGAAATAAGCCACAGGCCCAACAGGAAGCAGACCATCTCTTATCTGACTGTGAAAGAGTGGAAATAGTGGAGATTCTGAATGGTGGATAAAAATGAGTCCTTACTTTTGTTGGAAGCAGCCTGCAGAAGGCTTGTCAGTGAGGGAAGGGGGCCAGGAAGTGAAGGGCCTTTAGGGAAAGGTTGCTAACCCCTGAGTTGGCTCAGTGACCAGTGCAGACTGGGGACTTTGTAAAGGAGCAGCTCTTCACCTTAATAAGTAGCACTAAGTAAAGTGATTTGCAAGATCATCTGCATAGCTCTCACCTTTCCAGAAAGCTTTCTGTAGTCAGGGCACAAAGGAAGGCCTCAGAGAACGGGCTCTCTCTGGATATGCTTGTCTGGTGGTTCTCCCCCAGGGCTTCCCAGTAGAGTGGTAGAGTGAGACCCACACAATTTCTTACCAATAAAATAGTTCCAAGGTTTTGGTTATTTTTATACTAACATTTTAAAATTAATAGATTCTAATTCCACTTCTCTCTCTGCAGTCCGTTATACTTCCTTGAGTGGGCAAGAAAGTGGTGAGATACTAGCTAGTGCTAGCAACTGTGAGTAATGCTGGGCATGCCCATGGGGTGGGTGTGGCTCTGAGACACACGTAAAGGTTAGTTGCCATGTGGCTTACAGAGGATAAAAGACAGTAAAACACTACTCTAAGGGAATTGGTGGTAATTTGAACTCTGTTCCTTTACATTTCACATTTTATAGGGAAGGATTTAATTTGTTTGTCCTAAGTATATTTTTTCTGTTTCTTTTTATTATGACTATAAGTAATATATTTCAAATTCAAATGACCTCTCATAGAAGGCAATAAGAAACAGAAATGATCCAGTGGATCCTAGTTTCAACTGGATGTCTGAAGGCCTTTTTCCAAATCCTGGTTGTGTGAATTAGCTAAAACTCAAATTTAGGTCCCTCAAATTTCTCCTCTTAATATAGGGAAACACAGTGCCTACGATAATGAATTACTATAAGGAACGAATTAAACAGGAAAAGGTTACATGAAAATGTTATTATTATGCAAGTGCTATGTGCTCAGCACACCTGGATCTGTGAAGGTTTTAATGAGCTCTTCCATTGCCAACATCCAAGAAACAGCAAGATGGCAGTTTTGCAAAAATACCCAGTTTCCTGATTTCATTGCATCCTTGATCATTTTTTCAGCAATAGGTCCTTGTCCTTGCCCCAGTGAAATTGACTGCACCCTGAAATGAAGAGCAAAACCAAAATACCATTTTAAAGCAAAACTAATATCAAGAAATGTAAATACAGTAGACTCTTGCTTAGGATATACATATGTTTTGAATCCTCATTCCAATAGGAGTCCAAATATGTTTTTCTTATTTCATGTTTTTAAAAACATTTTTACCATGACCCACACAGAAAAGTATAAAAACTGAATATACAGTTCTACAAATGATCACAAATCAATAACTGTGGTTGAGAAGAGAACTATGCTGATACCCCAGAGACATTTCTCCTATACCTCTTTCCACCTTAATGATTTCCTCTTCCTTCTTCCCACAGGTAATCATTATCCTAATTTCTAACAGAACAATAGATCAATTTTTAAAAACTTAAAAAAATTACAGCCTAACATATATACAGAAAAATACATATTATTAGTATACGGATCAATGAATTCTCACAAAGCAAATGTGCACATATATCACCACTCAGTTCAAAAAACAGTATCTCTCCTTATCCCAAAAGGCAAAAACAGTTTTGAATTTGAATGCCATCGATTAATCACACAACATCTGTGAAAGCCAATGCTGTAAACTATCTACAACTAAGGAACCTGTGCAAAGGTTGGCCCTCTGAAAGCACCCAGAAACGGTCAATGAACTGTACGCAACATACACCACAGTCAAATTGTCAAAGGAAAATAGGAATACAAAAATAAAGAGCCTCAATGAAATGACAGCAACCTAAAAATGATAAATGCCAGTCCCCGGATAATTAGGAGTCAGCACTAAAACTCTGGCAATTCAAAAAATCAGAGTGTTTCTTTACCTCTGAAAAATTGCAGGCCGGGCTCAGTGGCTCATGCCTGTAATCCCAGCACTTTGGGAGGCTGAGGCGGGTGGATCACCTGAGGACTGGAGTTTGAGACCAGTGTTTCCAACATGGTGAAACCCGTCTCTACTAAAAAAATACAAAAATTAGCTGGGGATGGTGGCAGGTGCCTGTAATCCCACATACTCAAGAGGCTGAGGCCAGAGACTCACTTGAACTCAGGAGGTGGAGGCTGCAGTGAGCCGAGACCATGCCATTTGTACTCTAGCACTCTAGCCTAGGCAACAGAGTGAGATTCTGTCTCAAAAAAAAAAAAAAAAAAAAAAAAAAAAAAGATTGCAATGGATCCTACCAGATCGAAATGTCTAAAATGACAGACATAAAATTCAGAATCTAGATGACAAGGAAGCTCAATGAGATCCAAGAGAAAGTTGATCCAGTTCAAAGAAGCCAGTAAAATGATCCAAGAGTTGAAAGATGACATAGCTATATGAAGAAGAAACAAAACTGAACACTTGGAATTGAAAAATTCACTACTGGAATTTCAAAATATAACCGGAAGCCTTAACAACATACTAGGCCAAGTCAAAAAAAGAATTTCAGAGCTCAAAGACTGTTCCCTCAGAACAACCCAGTTAGGCAAAAATAAAGAAAAAAGAATTTAAAAAATGAACAAAGCCTATGAGAAATATGAGATTATCCAAAGAGATAAAACCTATGCCATACTGGCATTCCTGAAAGAGGAGAAAAGGTAAACAACTTGGGTAACATATTTGAGAATATAGTCCATGAAAATTTCCCCAATATTGCTAGAGAGGGACATGCAATTTCAAGAAATTCAGAGAAACCCTGGGAGATACTATATAAGATATAAGATGACCATCCCCAAGACACATAGTTGTTAGACTTTCCGTGATCAATGTGAAAAAAAAAATTCTTAAAAGCAGCTAGACGAAAAGTCAGATCACTTACAAAGGTCATCCCATCAGGCTAAGAACAGACTTCTCAGCAAAAACATTAGAAGCCACAAGAGATAAGAGACCTATATTCAGCATTCTTAAAGAAAAGAAATTCCAGCCAACAATTTCTTATTCTATCAGACTAAGCTTCATAAGCAAAGGAGAAATCAAACCTTTTCCAGATAAGTAATTCCTAAGACAATTCTTTGCAATTAGACCAGCATTACAAAAGGTTCACATGAGAGCTCTAAACACAGAAATGCAGGAATGATACCTGCTATCACAAAGACACACTTAAGTCCAAAGCCCACAGACTGTATAAGGCAACTACACAATTAAGGCTACAAAGCAACCAGCTAAAAACATCACAACAGGATCAAAACCTTACATATCAATATTAACCTTGGAAATAAGTGGTCTAAACACCCCCTTTAAGAGGCACAGAGTAGCAAGCTGGATAAAAAAAATAAAACCCAACCATCTGCTATCTTCAAGAGACCCACTTCTCATGTAACAAAATCCATAGGCTCAAAGTAAAGGGATAGAGAAAGATCTATCATGCAAAAGGAAAACAAGAGAGAAGGGAGTGACTATTCTTATATTGTAGAAATAAGACTAAATTGACAACAGTAAAAAAGGACAAAGAAAGGCATTACATAATGGTAATGGATTGAATTCAACAAAAAGACTTAACTATCCTAAATATAGATGCACCCAACATTGGAACATCCAGATTCATAAGACAACTACTTCAAGATCTATGAAAAGACTTGGAAAGCCACATCATAATAGTGGGAGACTTCAACATCCCACGAACAGTGTTAGATCATTGAGGCAGAAAACTAAAAAAAATTCTGGACATAAATTAGACACTTAATTAATTGGACCTAAGAGATAGCTACAGAATACTCCACCCATTAACCACAGAGTATACATTTTTCTCATTTGCATGTGGGAACATAGTCTAAGATCAACCACATGCTCAGCCATAATAGAGTTGATAGATTCAAAAAGATCAAAATCATACCAAGCATACTCTCAGACACCAGTGGAATTAAAATAGAAATCAATACCAAGATCTCTCAAAACCGCACAATTAAGATGGAAACTAAACAACTTTCTTCTGAATGTCTTTTGGGTAAACAACAAATTAAGGCAGAAATAAAACACTTCTTTGAAATAAATGAAAGGAGAGAAACAATATACTGAAATCTCTGGGATGCAGCAAAAGCAGTGTTAATAGTTTATGGTGTGTCTGGGTTCAGGGCCTGTAAACCCAGCACTTTGGGAGGCTGAGGTGGAGGGCACTTAAACTGTTTGAGATCATCCTGGGCAACCTGGCAAAAACCTATCTCTACAAAAAATACAAAAATTAACCAGGCATGGTGGTATGTGCCTGTAGTCCTAGCTACTCAGGAGGTAGAGAAGGGAGAATCTCCTGAGCCTGGGGAGGTTGAAGCAGCAGTGAGCCATGATCACACCACTACAGTACAGCCTGGGCAACAGAGTGAGACCTTGTCTCCAAACAAAAAGAAAAAAAAAAGTTTATAGTGCTAAATGCCTACACTGAGAATTAGACTCATGATATAATATTGCAATTAGAGGAACTAGAAAAACAAGAGCAAACAACTCCTAAAGTTAGCAGAAGAAAAGGAATAGGGATAAAATCAGAGCAGAACTAAATGAAATTGAGACCCCAAAATCAATACAAAGAATTAATAAAACCAGGTGCTGGAGTTGTTGCCACAAGTCCGGATTTCACTGCTGTGCACCCCTGATGCCTGCCTGATGTGCATTCCCAATTCCTTTTGGTTCCAAGTCCAATATGGCAACTCTCAAGGATCAGCTGATTCATAATCTTCTAAAGGAAGAACGGACCCCCCAGAATAAGATTACAGCTGTTGGGGTTGGCACATCCCAACCTGTGCCATGCCAACAAGTCCTTGAAGGACTTGGCAGATGAACTTGTTCTTGTTGATGCCATGGAAGATAAATTGAAGGGAGAGATGATGGATCTCCAACATGGCAGCCTTTTCCTTAGAACACCAAAGATTGTCTCTGGGAAGGACTATAATGTAACTGCAAACTCCAAGCTGGTCATTGGACTAGAGCACATCAGCAAGAGGGAGAAAGCCATCTTAATTTGGTCTAGCATAATGTGAACATCTTTAATTTCATCATTCTTAATGCAAAATACAGTCTGAACAGCAAGTTGCTTTATTGTTTCAAATCCGGTAGATATCTTGACCTATGTGGCTTGGAAGATAAGTGGCTTTCCCAACAACAGTGTTATTGGAAGTGGTTGCAATCTGGATTCAGTCCAATTCCATTACCTGATGGGGAAAGGCTGGGAGTTCACCCATTAAGCTGTCATGGGTGGGTCCTTGGGGAACATGGAGATTCTAGTGTGCCTGTATGGAGTGGAGTGAACGTTGCTGGTGTCTCCCTGAAGACTCTGTATCCTGATTTAGGGACTCATACAGACAAGGAACAGTGGAAAGAGGTTCACAAGTAGGTGGTTGAGACTGCTTACAAGGTGATCAAACTCAAATGCTATATACATCCTGGGCCACTGGACTCTGTGGCAGATTTGGCAGAGAGTATAATGAAGAATCTTAGGGGGGTGCACCCAATTTCTGCTATGATTAAGGGTCTCTATGGAATAAAGGATGATGTCTTCCTTAGTGTTCCTTGCATTTTAGGACAGAAAGGAATCTCAGACCTTGTGATAGTGACTCACTCCTGAGGAAGAGGCCTGTTTGAAGAAGAGTGCAGATACCCTTTGCGAGATCCAAGGAGAGCTGCGATTTTAAAGTCTTCTGATGTCATATCATTTCACTGTCTAGGCTACAACAGGATTTTAGTTGGAGGTTGTGCATGTTGTCTTTTTTATCTGATCTGTGATTAAAGCAGCAATATTTTAAGATGGACTGGGAAAAAGATCTATTCCTGAAGTTAGAAATAGGAATGGCTTGTAAAATCCTACAGCTATATCCTGATGCTGGATGGTACCAATCTTGCATAGTCCTCAACTGGTTACTGTGAAATAGTTCTACTACCTCTGAGGTACCACTGCCAATGCTGCACATGCTGCAGTTGCCCCTTGAGCCAGATGGATGTTTAGCCTGTGTTATATAACCAATATTTGGCACAGACACAACAAAAATAAAAACTTTAGGCCAATATCCCTGATGAACATAGATGCAAAAATTCTCAACAAAATACTAGAAAAGTGAATCCAGCAGCATGTAAAAAAGTTAATTCACCATGACCCAGTAGGCCTCATTCTGGGATGCAACACTGGTTTAAAATACACAAATCAGTAAATGTGACTCAGTCTTCTATGACAAACTCATAGCCAACATCATACTGAATGGGCAAAAGCTGGAACCACTCCCCTTGAGAACTGGAACAAGACAAGGATTCCTAGTCTCACCACTCCTTTTCAACATAGTACTAGAAATCAGAGCCAAAGCAATCAGGCAAGAGAAAGAAATAGAAGACATCAAAATAGGAAAATAAGAACTCATACTACCTTTCTTCTCCAACCATTTGATTCTGTAACTAGAAAACTGATAAACATCTTCAGTAAGTTTCAGGATACAAAACCAATGTACAAAAATAAATAGCATTTCTGTACAACAGTAATATTTAAACTGAGAGTCAAATCAAGAAAGCAATGCCATTTACAACAGCCATAAAAAGAATAATAAATCTAAACAAGGAGGTGAAAGATCTTTACAAGGAGGACTACAAAATACTACCAGAAGAAATAATAAATGACACAAACAAATGGAAAAGCATTCCATGCTCATTCACTTGAAGAATCAATACTGTTAAAATGACCATATTGCCCAAAGCAATATAACATCCAACACTATTCCTATCAAACTACCCATATCATTGCAAAACTATTCTAAAATTCATATATAACCAAAAAAGAATTGAAATGGCCAAAGCAATCCTGAACAAAAAGAACAAACCTGGGGCATTACATTACCCAATTCCAAACCATACCATAAGGCTACAGTAACCAAAGCAGCATGGTACTGATACAAAAACAGACACATAGACCAATAGAACAGAATAGAGACCTCAGAAATAAAGCCGCACACCTATAGTCATCTCATCTTTGACAAAATTGACATTAATAAGCAATGGGGAAAAGATTTTCTATTTAATAAATCATGTTGGGAGAGGATAGCTGACTAGCTTTATGCAGAAGAATGAAACTGGACACTTATGTTTCACTACATAACAAAATTAACTCTAGATGGATTAAAGATTTAAATGTAAGACGTCAAACTATAAAAATCTTAGAAGATAACCTAGGAAATATCATTTTAGACATCAGCCTTGGAAAACAATGTATGATTAAGTCCTCCAAAGCAATTGCAATGAAAACAAAAATCGATACATGGGACCAAATTAAGTGAAAGACCTTCTGTTCAGGAAAAGAAACTATCAACAGGGTAAACACAACCTACAGAATGGGAGAAAATATGTATCTGAAAAAAATTTAATATTCAGAATCTATAAGGAACTTAATTCAACAAGCAAAAAACAACTTCATTAAAAAGTGGACAAAAGATATGAATAGACAATTCTCTAAAGAAGACATACAGGTGTCCAAAAGCATATAAAAGTGCTCAACATCACTAGTCATCAGAGAAATGCAAATAAAAACCACAGTGAGATACCACTTCACACCAATCAGAATGGCTATTATAAAAAAGTCAACAATTAACATAAGCTGGTGAGGGTGCATAGAAAAGGGAACACTTACACACTGTTGGTGTATAAACTACATTAGCTTACAATGTAAACTAATTCAGCTACTTTGGAAAGCAATTTGGAGATTTATGAAAGAACTTAAAACAGAATTTCCGTTCAACCCACACTGTTCCCATTAATGGGTATATATCCTAAAGAAAATCCATTGTTCCACTAAGGAAGACATATGTACTTGCGGTATTCATATTAGCAAAGATATTCAATCAATCTAGATTCTGTTATAATGGTGGATTGGATAAAGAAAATATGGAGCTATAAACCATGGAATATGATGCAACCACAAAGAGTAATAAAATCACGTCCTTTGCAGCAACATGGATGCAGCTGGAGGTCATTATTATAACTAAATTCACACAGAAACAGAAAACCAAATACCACATGTTCTCATTTATAGGGGAAGCTAAACATTGGGTACACATGGACATAAAGATTGGAAAAATGGACACTGGAGACTACTAGATAGGGGAGGAGGAGAAGGTTGAAAAACTAACCATTGGGTATGATGCACACTACCTGAGTGATAGGATCATTTGTACCCAAACCTCAGCAATATGCAACATACACGTTAAAAAACCTGAGTCTCAAGTAAAAGTTGAAGTTTTAAAAAGTGAATAAAATATTTTCTAATTTACCCTGTGATTTCTTAAAAGTGTATCATTTAATTTCCATATATTTGTGAATTATCCGTATTTCCTTCTGTTATTTGTCTCTAGTTTTTTTCTCTGTTTGAAAATATGCTTTTTATGGCTCAATCTTTTTAAGTTTATTGAGACTTGTTTTGTGGCCTGACATACAAACTATCCAGGAGAATGTTCTGTGTGTACTTGAGAAGAATGTTAATTCTGGTATTGTTGGGTACAGTGTCCTATCTATGTCTGTCAGATCTATTAAAATTAGTTTTAGTGTTCTTGAAGTCTACTTATTTATTTTTCATAATTGTTCTATCCATTATTAAAGGTGGGACACTGAAATTTCCAACTGTTATCTTTGAACTATTTCTGCCTTCAATTCTGTCAGTTTTTATTTTATATATTTTGGGACTTGGTTGTTAGGTGCATATGTATTTACAACTGTTATGTCTTTTTGATGATTGACTCATCATTAAAGTATACCCTGCTTTGTCTTTTGTAACAACTTTTGTCTTGAAGGATATATATTTTTTGATATTATTATAGCCACTTCAGCTCTTTTAGTTACTGGTTGGATCTAATGTGAATCTCTTGGAGGCAGCATGTAATTGAATTGTGTGTGTGTGTGTGTGTGTGTGTGTGTGTGTGTGTGTGTGTGTTTTAAATCCATTCTGCCAATCTCTGTCTTTAAATTGGAGACTTTAATCCATTTGCATTTAATATAATTACTAATAAGGAAAAAATTACTTCTATCATTTTGTTTTTTTTTTATATGTCATATCCTTTCTGTTCCTCAATTCCTCCATCATTGCCTTCTTTTTGTTAGATATTGATTTTAATTCTCTGCTCTTTTACTATATTGTATATAGTTTTAGTTGTTTTCATAGTGATCATGTCATGGATTACAATTAACATTTGAAGTTATAAAAATTTAAATTTGAAATAATACCAATTTAGTTTCAATTGTATAAAAATATGCTACTACATAGCTCTGCCCTCTCTTGTGCTGTTATTGTGTTACAAAGTACATTTTTATACATTATGTTACCATCAGCATATATTTATAATTATTGTTTTAGGCTTTTGTCTTTTAAATTATATACAAAATGAAAAGAGGAATTATAAGCCAAAAATATATTCTTAGTGACATATATTTACCTATGTAGTTACCCTTACTTGGGTTATGTATTTCTTTGTGTGAATTCAAGTTGCTGTCTAGCGTTCTTTCATTTTAGTCTGAACAACTCCTTTTAGCATTTCTTGCAAGGCAGTTCTACTAGTGACAGAGCTTTTCAATTTTTGTTTACCTGGGAATATTTTAAATTTTTCTTCATTTTTGAAAAATTATTTTGCCAGATACAGAATTATTGGTTAACAGTCTGTCTTTCCCCCTGAGCACTTTGAATATGCTATTCCTTCTGGCACCATGGTTTCTGTTGAGAATCAGCCATTAATTTTAATGAGAATCTCTTATCTGTTAAAATTCATTTCTCTTTTGCTGCTTTCAGGTTTATTTCTTTGTCTTGTTTTTTGATAGTTTGATTACAATGTGTCATAGTACAGCTCTCTTTGAGTTTCCTACTTAGAATTTGTTAATGTCTTTGGATGTGTAGATTCATATCTTCCATCAATTTGGGAAGTATGGGCCATTATTTCTTCAAATATTCTTTCTTTCCCCCACTCTCTTGTCTCCTCAGATTTCCATTAGCGTATGTTGGTATGGTTGATGGTATGTCTCAGGTCTCTTAGGTTCTCTGTCTTTTTTTTTTTTTTTTTTTTTAGACTGGATCTTGCTCTGCCACATAGGCTACAGTGCAGTGGTATAATTGTAGGTCACTGGAGCCTCAAACTCCTGGGCTTAAGTGAACTTCTTGCCTCAGCCTCCCAAGTAGCTGGGACTACAGGCACATGCCACCATGCCAGGATAGTTATTATTACTATTTTTTGTAGATGCAGGGTCTTGCCTTGTTGCCTAGGCTAGTCTGCAACTCCTGGCTTCACACAATCCTTCCCCACCTTGGTATCCTACAGTGCTGGGGTTACAGTTGTGAGCCACTATACCTGGCAGGTTCTGTTTGTATTTTTGTCTTTCTGCTCATCAAACTGAGTAATCTCAGTGGACCTAGCTTCATGTTCATGGTTCTTTCTTCTACTTTTCAACATCTATTGTTGTATCCCTTTTGTGTATTTTTCATTTTAATTATTGTATTTTTTATCTCCAGAATTTCTACTTGGTTCCTTTTAATAAATTCTATCCCATTGATATTCTCTATTTTGGTGAGGCATCATTCTCATGTTTTCCTTTAGTTCTTGGTTCATGTTTCCTTTAACTATATGAGCATATTTTAAATAGTTGATTTAAAGTTTTTGTCTAGTAAGCCCAATGTCTGGTATCCATCAGGGTCAGTTTTCATTGTTTTTGAATGGGTCATAATTTCTTATTTCTTTGGATGCTTTGTATTTTTTTTTTGTTGTTGTTGAAAAGAAGACATTTAGAATATTATAATGCCAAAACTC